TCCTAAAGACAAGGATTATAAAAACAGATAACAAAGAAAAAGTAGTCACACATAGAATTCACATTATGTAATATTTCTCACCTCTTTCCTGGGTTTGTCATCAGAAGCTGGATAGGTCACATAACTAATAACAAGCCAGGATGACTTAGCTTTATATCTAATGACTCAGTCTAACTTAGTATAACTAGAAATAACTCTGAAGAAATTTTAATATAGCAGTAGCACAGCCACTTTTATTGTATATAATGACCTGAGTTTGATGAATAAATAAATAAAAAAAGATAATGTTGTCTATTGTCTCAAAGTTTAAATAAATATTTTACCCTACTAATACTCAGATCTAACTGAGATTCTTAGATAATGTAATTACCATAGGAAGAAGAAGGTGCTAAGGATGAAGAAAGTTTCACATTAGAAAATTTCAGTTTCATAAGAGAAAAAACAAATGAGAAAGGTTGTGTTGGCAAGTTACTGATGTGACTCTAGTTACCAGATGTGATGTCCATCAGATTGGCAGTATTTTCTAGAGAAGCTATTAATGTTATTAAGCTAAGGACAGAAACCTGAATACTTACTATTAAGAACTGAATTATCTCTACTTGCTGTCACCGCAACTATACTAATGCAGAAGGAGTCAATTATCTAGATATTTAAATCAAATAGGGTTGCCAGTAATATTTTCTCTCTAATTATCACTCTCTCTATACTGGCTGTCTCCTCTCTCTGAGCATTATTAGCCTTTAATGGCTTGTTCCTATACAACTTTAGAAGAGTATCCTATGAGGTCAAAATGTATATATTACTATATAAACAAGCTCATGAATAATAATAATCATTAAGATTAAGAAAATAAGACTGTTCAGATAATTCAAGTAGATCAGATGTTTTACTATATGTTACAGAAGAATGAGCTTACCTTCAACTTCTATTGGTAGTGGACTTTTGAATCAGTTTATAGATGCTAGCCTTGAATGAAAATTCCAGGAGTAAGATTTATCTCATCTTAATAGACAATGCTTACCAAAAAGATGTAGAAGGGCAGTTATGATAGTAAAGGATAATAATGTAATTTGGAGTTTCTGCATAGGAGTACATAGCATACACCCTAACATCAGGAGGATAAGATTGCAAATATAGTGGCTCAAAAAGTGCCTTAATGTTTGTAACTTTTCATATACTTAATTGCTCAATTATAAGTTAGAGCATTGGAATATGACTAAGCTATAGGAAGTCAGCAAGCTCTGTCTCTCAGCTTTATTTTTTTTCTCTGTAGTATGGGAATATAATGACATTGTGTGAAGATATGATTATTTTAATTTGATGTCTACTTTATAAAATATGGTAGAATCTTTGAGACATGACTGGTGATATCACTCTTTGTACTAGTATATTGTTAAGAAATCTGAGAGATAGTATACTTAATGTATTGAAAATAGCCTCCAAGCTCCAAGTTCCAGTTTCTTTAATATAGCTACATCTGCTACTATTGTATGTTAGTATATTATGTATTAGAATAAGCCTATACCAAAAAAATAAACATACTATTGAATGTAATAAAATACTAATTATTTCTAATGAAATGTAGAGAACATAATTGAGAAAACACTATTAGCTGTCCTTTACCATATACATAAAATCTAAAACCATATTATAATAACCACCTTTTACTCTGATATCCTATCTCTGGAGACTAAGAAGGTAAGGAGTAGCTTCCAATCCAGTTAGATGAGAACTGAAGTACAATAACATACATATACATATTTGTGAATGATAATTAATTAAAAGCCAAATGCTAGAAGACTACAAAACTTAATGAATAAGATAATTTTGAACTAATATCATTGATTTTCCACTAGATCATTAGCATTGATTTTTTTGATTAATCATAATCAAGTGCTCCCTTGATATCTGCCACCACTGATGAACCAGTTCATTATTTAAGCTCATAATGACAGTGTTCTAACTAGGTGAGGCAGGTATTATTTTGTCATACAATACTTGAGTGCATTCTGACTTTTGCACTGAATAATGAATGACACAGTCCAAAGATACTGGGTTATATCTTGCATCTACTACTGCACCTCCAAAAAATCAGAATTTAATAGTATTGAAAACATAATGTCAACAATGGCCTTTATAAATCCTTTACATTGTAATATACCTCAATGTGTGCACTCTATAAGATCATAAAAGTGATTGCTAGGAAAAACACAGACTTCCTTGTCATCATAGACAGTAAGTGAAATATCAAAGCCAGCAGAAGGGGTGAGAGTGGTCATAAGCATAAAGGTAAGCTACTAATGAACATTTGAACATATACACACCATCATCACTAATGAGTAGTCATGAGAGAAGAACTAATGTAGAAATTGCTACATTTTTTTAAACAAGAACTCATAAGAAGTACACACATATGCTCTACTATAAACATATTAGTAAACTATTGATTTTGTGATAGATGTCACAAGATATCATATGTTTTACAAATTTCACAGATACATAATAAAATATCACATCATTGATGCTACTAATGTCTACATATAATATAAACCAACATAAATATCCAAATTTTAACAAGTATTCCTATCTCTTGCTAGTGAGTAAGGTGTAATTAGTATTAGCACCAGTATCAAAAACTGTTCAAGATTAAGAGGCACCTTCTCAAAAGATAGTAAATATTGTAAGCTCATCATACTAGACAACCAACTGTGAGTTCACTGTGTCTAACAACCAGCAAACAAGATATAGTTTTAGTTGTTGATTTTTTGACTTTCACTAAATCTTAGTGTTCTTTTTTTTTCAAAACATATTTCAGAAATCTTTGTATTGTCTTTATATCCATCTAACACTTAGAGTAGCCTAGTAGAGAGACTTCAGGGATTGATAGTGACACTTGATCTTACTCATCTAAGTAGCAATACTAAGCTAGGGTTTTCTTTGTCTGATAGACTTTAGCTGTTAAATAGAGGACTTGATATTAAAATTCAAGGACATCTGTTTCTAATTCTGTTTATTACTCATGATGGATTCCTTGGCAGCAAGTCTAATAATAAGCTAAGAGTTCTACATAAGCATTAATTAGTCTTGAATCTATTTGTACTGAGAGGGCTGATTATTATAATTCCATACTATCTTTTGTGGAGTATGATTTGTTACAAGGCATTGTTATTGTAGGAAAGCTGGAAGGAGAGTTCTCTATTTTTGTCATCACCATACTGTTAGAGTAACTGGATGTTGTTTTCTGTCAAATTCTATATTATTGGATTAACCATGGTATTTACTGGTCTTATGAGAGTACCTCTAGCTCAACATACCTTGGGAAGTATAAACAAGCTACCTATGAATGATAATGTTATTAGTTATTAGTATTTGTCTGAATTGCTAATTATAAGATATTTGGTTTTATAGGTGTTTATCTATTAGTCATCTATCTAAAAAGACATTAAATCACTTTATTGGTGTTATTTCATTGTTGTGAGAAAATCATCACTGGGAAGTTGTGGCAATATCATAATTATTTTATTTGAAGATAATCAATACATTTGTTTTTGGTTATTAGTCAGATGTAATGCTATTTATAAGGCTAATATTATAAGCTGTATATCTGTTGGTTATGAGCCTCATATATACCACAGCCCTCCGGGCAACCCAGGACCCTGCTTCGCTTCCTTCTTTGTCACCAACTTCAAACTTACCAATTCTCACACTTTTCTTCAGATGTTTGAATTCATCGCAGAGTGCAAATGCACTACATGTGGCTGGCAGATGAAGTTGAAGGCGTTGCCGAAGTTTGTGGGAAGTCAGAAGCTGACTTGTCAGTGGTATATGTTCATTACTTCAGTGTTTTCTTCCATTTCCACCAGCATCAATATAGGTTGGGTCTCTTCATGTGCAAGGCATGTTTGATTTGCTTCTGCATCTGTAGCACCAACATCTAGTGGATGTTTTCGTTTTTTCACTGCTTTAAGAATAGACGTGTATTCTTGGATGCGTGTATGTGTTTCTCCAGTAAGTAGTACACTTTCTGAGTGCGAATCATTAATGTGTGGCTCATTTCTATTGCCAACTGCTGCTAATAATCCTCCATCTTTCGCAGAGCAAAGACAGGTTCTAATGTTGTCCACATGTTTACCAGTTGTTACAGTACATTCATTCTCTTCGTTTCTCCTTTGTTACCGGACAATGGTACATGGACACGGCCCTTAACGAGCGACCAATTACTTTTCAGACTCTTACTCAGATCATCGTCAAGCTAGCTTTCCGTGCTAGTAACCATCACTATGTCTAAACATCTCTTATCAAAGCGGGCTGTCCGCACCATGGTTACTATCTCTTATCTCTTATCCCTTATCGTCTACCAAGCGGGCTGTCCGCCTTCTATCTTGATACACATTTACAAGCTCCGCTTGAACTCTCACTATATAGTTACATAGCGTACCACATGTAGTTCTTCACTTTAATCTACTGGGTTTTACCTGGAACAAGTCCTTTAGCAAGGTCCCCAACCTTGCTATCTAAGAACCACCATTCTAAGGAAGTCGCCGATACTTGCCTTAGCCAGAAACCTTTGACCTCTCATTCGAGAGAAGAACCACGTCTGTCTCGCCGAATCTCAGTCCACTCGGACTAAGACAGCTCGACATACCCCAGTCGTAACACCAGTTGATGATTCATTTTGGTCTACTGCCATGACAAAACTCTCTAACTCTTCATTCTCATTGGGGTCTAATGCAGCATTGGCAAACAACGCATCCTCAAAGGCAGTCATATCCTCCTGTGTAGTATCATGCACTGCACTTGAAGACCCAAAGACATGTGGTCTGGCACAGTCCGCCATGACTGCTGCAGCATGTGCATCTCGTGCATTCAACATTCATGTTACAGATGACCTTGCACAAATCTGCATTGAAATTTTCTTGTGCAAATGCTTCAGCCCATATGTCCTCGTTCTTCTTGAGCTCTGACAAAGGGCGCCATGGTTTAAATAATAACAACATAGCTCAATGGTACATCTCATAGTCCTCTGTCGACCCATCTGGTTGTGGAATAGCAGCACCTAACAAGACTGGCACTACTTTTTTCTTGCGCAGTCGGATGTGGTGTGTCTCAAATTGTCCATGTTCTGAGGAGAATTTCGCTCGAGGCATCTTTTTGCGTTTGTGCTTTTTGTCAGTGATCTCCTCACCAAATAAATCATCATCAGATTCAGGGTTGTTGGTTGACTGATCGTCCATCTTGCCTTTCACTTTGACAGTACTTTCCATAAATTCCCAAAGGCAGAACTGGTCGAAATTCTCATCCAAAGGTCGCAACATATAATCTTGAACGTTGTCTTACTAGGATGTGATTGGCAATAAAATCACCAGTTCTCACTATCCTCCACGGTCAACGGTTCAGACAAATACCAACGGTTGATAATGTGGTCATTCGTGGGAGGAGGCGTAAATAGCTGGGTCAATCTAAACAACTTCTAATGACTTTAGGTGGGTTGAGACAGTGACCGTTAACTGGCTTGATGCAGTGCTTAGGTACTTGCCTACACAATGAATTAGAGTAATATCTTGTAAACACTCCCTATTCTCAAAAATTAGAGGAGATCAAACTAAGCCTCTAACACAATCGAATCAACCAAAATATGTGGCTTCGAAACTAACTTCTCTGCTGCTCAGGCACTCACAATGAGTATGACACAGAATCAGAACAGAGTACACCCTCTTAATGTAGTCTTAAAGCAGCCAAGCTCTTAATATTGTTGAATAAAGTGCTAGTCTTATTTGTCGTCCTCCTAATCGTTAAAAATATGTAAATTCTCCCCACAGAAAAGGTATCCTGTGTTGTAGGGAGAATGTGACGAAACTACAACTAGATGACTGATAACTGTGTACCAGCTAGTGTAATTCAAGGATTGGCTCAAGGTAGGCCTCAGAAGATCAGTATGTTGTGGGAAATGATGACAAAAGAATGGAGGGAATAAACTAATATTCACTCAGATGTTCACACAAATATAGGGTGAGAAATTCAGGAAGATACTCAAATCCTCCTCCCTCTCTCTAAAAGGGGGATGTCTGTCCTCTCAAAGGAAGCTTATTTCAAAAGGGAGATTGTCATTATTCAGAGGGGAAACTGGGCCCCTTATATACTACTCTAAATGTGGCTGTGTAACTATCTAATTAAGGAAATATGACTCATCCTGACTCATACTGAGTCATAGTTGAAATGTCTCATGATGACTTGTTCACTTCTCAAATATTCCCATCTATTAAATTTCTTCCTTCAGTTTCCTGACTAATCCATCTCATCTTACTAATCCATTTCATCTGACTAAGCCATTGATCACACATGAACTGTTGAAATGTTGGAATGCTACCGTAAATATGTTTCAGAACATACAGAAAAAATGTGAAGAATGGTAAAAAACAATCATAAGATTGTGAGAGAATGCTGACTAATGTGTTGTGGTATGTTTGGAACTTATCTTTAAATTGGGTAAGTGTTAATTGAATTATTATGTAGTATTATGGGTTTGTTATGTCTGAAAATTACTCAAATCAAATCATAATGTGTTATAGAAAATTCTTAGTAATTTCGTAAAGTATAGTAGAGAATGTCAAAGCTAAAAAGTAGCCATGACCATGCACAAAACAAGTTTGGTGCATGTCAACATCACTCATAAATTCCAATGTCTCCGATGAGATACCAACAGTCACAGATTCCTCAATATACATTGATTCTTCGTTATCCTCAGCATCATCATTGTTCAAGTCACAGAGTTTGCATTCAAACTTATCGATTGCATTGGTAAACTCAAACCATTTGAACGTCTGAAAGGTATGACTGGTGTAATGATCTCCTCTGCCTACTAAGTAACTCATGACTTGCTAATGAGATGTCTCCTGCCAACCCATCATAGCATTAACCGATTTCATGATTAAGTTTTGTGCCATGCATGCATCACTGGTGTCCTCAATATCCACATACTTGGCTTCATGCATCTTTGTCGCATAATCAAGCACCTGAAGGCCAATGTAGAGTGGAACATCACCCTTAGTAATGTATTTTGTTTTGTAGAATACTGCAGCTTTGGCTGCTTCTCCCGAACCGATGAACTGAGTGTCTGTATTGCATTGCATCAGGAACAATATCAAATCTGTAAAATTGTTGATATGACCGTGCCACCACCGCAGTTCAATGGAGCCACTTTCCTTGTCTATTATGGTCTTCTCTTGCAATTTACCATCCATTTGCATTCTGCAAGTAGCATCTCCTCTAGGTTCATTATTTCTGAGATGCTTATAACAAGTATCACTATGAATATGCCAATTGCATTCTACCGCTAGACGAGTGAGAAATTCCGTGAATTCATATTGAAATGACTGATCATCCAAATCCACCACTTGTGGTTGTTTGTCTAGCAGAGGATCAAGTTCCCCTGCAGCATGGGACGGCTTTTTGGCATCAGCTGTGCTATGCTCTGGTACGAGGCCCTTATCATGAGGCAACTCACAACTAATGATGTTGTCTAGCTAGGAAAACATGACATCCTTGAAGGCATTGTCATCATACATTTTATTGCGCAATTTCTTCCCTGTGCTTCAACTGTGCCATAGTAAGCCTGACAATGTCCAAAAACACCAGGGCCATGTTTATATTTCAATATTATGTCGATAAACCCTCAGATTTGTAAATCAAAAGCCATGGCAGCAGCATCCAGTCGTTCAGCGACTAATTTAGCACATTCAAAAGAACTCATCATGATCCAGTCATCTAATTCAATACCCACAAGCACAGGTAAGACATTACTCGTTGGATCATAAGGATTAAGAGTCACAAAAAGGGCTGGAGTGCAGAATTTCTTGATCAATGCATGTATTTTATTGCGACGACACAACTTGTATCCCACACTTCCTCTCAGAAATTTAGTGGATGCCTGTAAGCATTGGAGGATCTTGGCTGCTTTCTTCTCTTCTGTCATGGACAGTGAACTTGCTGGAGAACTTTGCCACTTTTCCGCCAAATTTGTTAATAAGGGTCTGATGTCCTTCAAATCATTCGCAAGACTATGTTGCAAGGACGAACTGATCCAAAATGACATATTCATGTGGACCTCTTTCTTCTGGATCATGTTCCAAACAACAAAAGCAAAATTAGGATCTCTCCGGAAAGGTGAATCATCTTGCAATAAGAGATTTCTGATTTGAGCCTCCATAAACAAATATTGCTGACATGTTCTGCCACTATGAAAAAAACCACCTATATCCCAAGGATCAAGATGAGGAAACAAGTACAACATCAAACCTGGGTCATCATCAGCAAAAAAACTGAGAACCCGTTGTAGAGACTCATGCCTCTCATTGTGCAATATGGTGGTTTTCACTGGGGAGTACATGGCACGAACTTGTAGCATCACTCTGTGTGCTACCTGCAGCTATCTCTATATGAGGCGCAGCTTTCCCGCGCAACGCGCGCCATGCACGCGTACCTTTCCCGCGCTTCACGATGTATATGCGCGCACGCTTTCCCGCGCTTGAGCGCCCTATAGCGCCAGCCATCCGGAAGCATCCATCCACTGTCCACCAAGTTCCCTAGTGCGTATATTTCCATTTCTCACATTTGCTTATCGTTCCATCTTTATTTTTATCATGGACCCTTACTTACATATATCTTTACATACCTTACTCGGTAGCGCTTCGGCTCCGCATGACAGCGCTTAGGCGCCATACTTAAGCGCCAGCAGTACATACTTACTTACCGACTTACTCTCCCACCAGAATGACAGAGGACTTACTGGTTACTACCCACTATTTACCTAGCAGAACATAGTAGAAATCTATTTGTTTACACCTCGCATCTCTCTTCTCTTGTCTTACATCATATCATCACTTAAGCAAACTCACTCTTACTCTCTCTCGTATCTGTATACACGCGCACGCTTTCCCGCGCTTCGCGCCATACACGCGCGCATTCCCACGCCTTGCGCGCACCTGCGCTTTCTTGCGCTTCGCATTGGCCAACCAGTAGCGCTTTCAGCGCATACCTCTAGATCCTTGCTGCACTCGCTTCCCCTTTAGGGTCGAACGCACTTGTCGTCTCAAGTATAGCAGACTAGGCAACGCGCGACCTTACAACATTTATAGATACAGTCAGGAGCATTGTTCGTGCCTCGCTGTATCGTTGAACCTTCACCGTTGTAGCACTTGAGCTCACGCTAGGCTCATATTCACTGATTTCCCGATATACGTTCAATGTCCGTCACTATCCGATGTAACCTGCACAACCCGACACTTTGACTAGTGGACCCGACATTTTGGCTGCATCAGACCTGATATTTTCCCGCGCACTTGTCCTACCTGTGTCCTGTCTTATCTTGCTAGCCCCACTAGGTGCGTAGTTGATTAATTCACACATTGCTCACGTCGTAGCCAGCGCTATTACATGTTTTCCCATCATCCGCAGTGCCTCGTGTTTATTTACATGTACTTCGGACCCAAAATCGTCGGCCGCTACTTTTGCCTACGGCCTTCCGGATTTCTACGTACTTATATATATATTGGACTGACTATGAGTATTTTCATTATCCAAGTAGTAGGGAGCTGTTCCCCGATACTTAGTGGTCAAACCCGATATTTCGTAGTTCTTAGTTGACATTGCGAATATTACCGTTCTTTCTATCCAAAACACCCGTCATTATTATATATCCGCATACCACTCGCTTTCCCGACGTTCGCTATCACCGTTCCCGCTAACCTGCTAAACCCAAAAACATCGGACCTGACGCTTTGGCGTCGGACATCGTAGATATACCCTCGGACTTTGTTTCTCGCGCTCGGACTTTTGACCACTTTATTATTTCACTAACTACAGACCAATTCAATAGCTAACCCCTCGGGTCGAACGCACTTGTCTCGCAAGTATAGCAGACTAGGCTGTGCATGACCACAACACATTTTTATATTGCTGGCTACTTACTTCGTGTAGTGTCCAGCGATTGTTGTATCTCTACACCGTACAAGACAAGAGGAACTTCTTCTGGTCCAACACATAAGCCAAGGCATGTAACTTCATTTTCTCTCGACTAACTGACGAGTGATCGCCTCTGGTATATCCCACAGCCTCCATGACAATTTCATTTACGGTGATGTCAGCAGATTCACTGACACTAGTCTCATCTACAACATCTTGAACATCACTCGACTCATCCACATCAGCAGCAAGATGACATATCTGCAATGCACGAGGAACAGCGCAATCATTTTCATCATCCGCTGGATCAAGCAAGGAATCCATATTCTCTTGACAGTATGATGCACCACTTCGTTGATACCACAGGTTATTGTCAAGAAGAAAATCAATAAGTTGTTGTACCCTACTCTTAGTGACCATGACAGGCCGCATAGACTTAATGGTTTCCCTCGTCAGTGCCTGCTTATGACCAGTGAAAATAACACACATGGTGTCATGCAATTGATCTAGACTGGGTGGCAACAGTGTTCACAACTCAGTAGAATCTTGCGCTCGCATAGCGACATTCCCTTGGTTATATCGTTGAGAGGCCTCCTCTGATGTCCAATGCATTCCCACAGACGGTTTGTAACTATAATGATGGACAATTTGTGAGGCACATGTGTGAGAGACCAACATCAAGTCATAAACTGAGGTGTCCGCAAATGCTGTCTGGATTGATGATGGGAGACATTTGTGCCCATAATATTGAAAGTTGGCCAGGGAATTAACAGGCTGCTACGGGGACTTAGATATTAAAGCTGACTGACAAGATTGACATAAATATAAATCGGATTTACACCATAATTCTTGTAAGCCTTTTGGATACAATATAGCTTGGTCATACAATTCAAAAGCATAACTACATGGGACAGTATGCTCAGGTAGACAATCATTATGGAGTAAATGCAGTGGTACCTTCTTGATGGTGACAAGTAATAACTCCTTTGACAGAACATTGTGAGCGCAACATGCACATGGACTACATCGCAAAAACGCAGTGCTCATCTGCTGTTGCTATTGAGCTATGATGTGTTTCTTTTCATCAAACGACAACCAGATGGGAAAGACTTCATCCTGATGCTTGCCAGAGACATCACATTCACAAAACTGACGGTGCTGTTTGACTAAAGTTGTGTTGACATCACTAACCACGACATGTTTCGACCAAGATGCCCGTTGCCAAGGGACTGATTGCATAGAATCAAAAAAGGGTCAGGCATCATCTGGTGCACGAAATATTGTCAAGGTGTTTTCAAAAGCTAGAATATGACAACATTGTTAATGCACTGAACATCACATACATGCACTCGTAACATGTTGTGTAAGTGATCTTTACGATTGGCAGGCTGAATACGAACGAAGTGTGCATGGGCAATGGCAGCATAATCAGTGTGAGTCATATAGGGAAAATTCTCGAGAATATGGCACAATGCAGGTGCAGTCATGGGCAACAGCCGACCAGCAGGATACTGATCACGAAATGGACGACGGACTTGGGAGACCTCAAAAAACTCAAAGAACTTGCATAAAACGCAGGAAGAGACAACGGATGAGCCATCATCAGGAAGCTCATGATCTGACACCACAAGAGATATGGGCAGGACCAAGACAGACACACTGGAAGACATGACAGACGATGATGAAGCAGCAGCCATGAATAATATAGCAAACGGATGAGGCAACAAACTAACTTGGTCATATTGCAGGGAGCTGGCAAAAAGGAGAATTAAACACTGCAGAGAGAGGAGATGACCAATCAAAAACAAAAAAGGTTGGAAAGGCAGGCCACCAAGTCCAGTGAGATCAATATAAAGTTTCCCATCCTTAAAAATCGTTATACCAGTCCCCTAAAGGGTCCTGGAATTCACAATGTATTTGTGATGTTTTAGGGCACTATTATAGTAGATGATATAAGAAAGTCAAGGCATTATTCTGGACTTTGTTTCACATGTCCTCACCTTCTTCACTGTATCTGACAGCATTGTTAAGACTTACTCACTTCTCATTGACACTTATATCAAAGATTCTACCAAGTACAAATATCTCTTTGATGCTATGAACACTCAAGTGAATATCTATCATCAGCTGTGACTCAGATAAGGATGTAGAATAGATTTAGTGTTATATGTTTTGCTATGTATGAAAACTCTCATAAAATAATAATGATTAAAGTATATGAGAATTGAATATTAAGGCATGAAATTAGCTGGTTAAATGAGTATTACAGATATGTCATAGTCATAGACTACATTACCAAGTATCAAACGGCAATGACTACTAATTAAGCAATAATAATAACAAATTTATATTGTACAATGTTGCAAGTTATAGATAATGTACAGTCTATCCCATCACTCAACTGAAACTAAAGGATTGGGATGGAAGAGCATTGTATGAGCACAAAATTTGGCCCAAAAGTGTTTCAGTGAGCTCTCCCTACACTGATCTCCACCTACAGTGCCAGCATTAAGCCAGTGTTTGATAAAGTGTTCCTTAAGAGAAATTCTCATATCCCATCTTGGCCACTGGCTACTTAGAAAATCTGAGCAAGTACCAACAAAGGCCAATCAGAATGTATTACAGCCCTATGTCTAATGCTGTGATTCTGTCAGTATAGGAACTAGACAGTGCTGAATCTATTCTAATAGCTGTAACTAATATTAGGAATATGTAGGACTGAAATTAGATGGTAATAGAAGGAATAGGATGAGTATGTTGATATTATGATAAAATATCTTATGTCTCCTTTCACTCAGATTAGGAGCCTAAACAATTAAAGTATTTAAATTGATCTCAAGAGAGGTTGCCTACTTATGTTGTCCAAAGTTAAGAGACACTTAGAATAGAGATATCTGTCCAAATCAAGTGCTTCCACAACCAGTGTTGTGAATGATCTATACTCCTCTGCAATGGACTATTACAAGTAACATTGGTCACATGGCCCCCCTATCATTTTCCCTTCATCCTCACCTTCACCGCATACCAGCTTGTTCTCCTTTACTAAATATTCATTGACCAGATCCTTGGAACCATTCCTGTCCCTCACCTCCTTCTTCTTTTCAATTCTTTTGCAGATCTCGTACCAACATGCACACATGCTCCCACACTATGACTCACTCTGACTTGTGTCATCAATGTGGTTTTCTTTTTCTATTCTGTTATGACTTGTCTTGACTTGTGTCTTCCACATGTTGTATTCTTACTGTTGGCCCATTCCAATGTTTCTCAGTCTCTTTCTGCAGTCGACCATTCCACCACTAATCAGGCTGTGTTGCCAGTGTACCTATATCCTTTCCATCTTCCCTGTTAAGACCGTGCACAAAGGGTAGGACTGATTCCAAGGGGCTTGGCTTCAGCTCGTACGCTGCACCCCTTACCTGAGTATGTGCCCTTAATTTCAGATGACATCCGGAGGAAGTCCAAGGAAGTCCGCAGGACTTCCGAAGGAGTGTGGGAAAATCTGGAAGGACTGTCCGGATCTGGATGAGTGCAAGAAACTTCTGGAGGAGTGCAGGAAAGTTCTGGAGGAACTTCTGGAAATTACTATGAGGTTCGTCCACTTGACAAGGATACATGTAAGGCTAATCAGGATGAATCCTGAATAGAATGCAAACAGAGAAAAGGTTGCAGGGACAAAGTCCAAAGCAGAGTAGGTCTGGAGGACCGCAGGAAAGTTCCGGAGGAATGTCCAGAAACTCGGAGGTGTTTAGGATCAGAGGAGCGGAGCTCCAGCCTAGGGAATTCCTCCCTAAGCCTAAGGTGGATATTCAGATGTAAGGAACTAGTATGAAGACTTGATGTAAGATCTAGTGTGAGGACTAATATGTGTAATATTCAGACTGAGGAAATACAGGAGTATCTACAGGGGTTTATATACTGGAGACAAGTCCAAGCGGATAAGTAAGCAGAGGGGTAAGGCTATGTATGATGACCTGCACCAAACCGGTTCGGTGCATGGATGACTAATGGTCTCTCACGAGCCCGATACCCTAGAAATCATTATGAACAATCTTCCTTTACTTTATGGTTCAGACTGCAGTTCAGATAGTATTTTCATTTCTCAGACAGACTCAGATAGGCTGAATATTCTTGTATATTTAATTTTGCGGTAAAATTCTGCTTAGTCAGCAATAACAATGACTCAGACTGAATCCCACACATGTCAAGTAACAGTGTAAAATAGTTCTTGCATAAGTTGCCTTGTGGGAACTTTCTTAACACTCTAAATACACGGCTCGCGTCATTTCTACAGTCAATAAAGCAACATCATAACAAGACACCAACAAATAACATAATCAGTCTGTTACTTAATATTTGTCACATGATACTAAGTTATATGACTCTAACAGTCAGGTGACCTATGACCCTAAACCAAATCATGACAAAGCAACCTTTTGAGATGACTAAAGCTTGATGACACAAATTATAAAGCACATGACTACAGTAAATAGTATTGGTACAATCTGACTAAGCCTATTCCCCTTAGAACGTGGGAAATAGTAACACAGCCACCATAATTTATCTATATAAGACCCCACTTTTTGCCAATAAAAGGATGCATATAGGGAACTTTTAAGCCCCACAAAATAAATTTGAGTGTGAAGTGTGATCAGTATCAACAACAGTGACAAGAGCTGTTAAGCAACTAACTGAGAGGTCATTGTAAGCAACATCCAGCAATACCTTTAGCTCATCGTCAACAACTGTGAAATATCTTGAGCTCACTGTGCTCAACAGTGAGCAAACTTTTTCTTTGATTTTCTACTGGTGAACCTCTAGTCTCTTTCTTTTCTTTTCTTTTCTTTTCTTTTCTTTCTTCTTTCTCTCTTTCTTTTTCTGTTTCTTTGTTTGTTTGTTTCTTTTCATTTGTCTCTTTTTCTGTTCAGTTCGTTCACGTCTCAGTGTTATTGTCTGAATTTGTTTCAAGATCTTTGTGTTGTCTTTACGTCCATCTAAGCACCGGCTTAGTGGGAAGACTTCAGAAGTTGATAGTGACGCTTGACCTCACTCATCTGAGTAGTGATACTGAGCCAGGGTTTTCTTTGTCTGCTAGACTTTAGTTGTTGAATAGGGGACTTGGTACTGAAATCCAAGGACGTCCGTTCCTGACTCTGTTTAATACTCATCGTGAGTTCCTTGGCAGCAGGTTCAATAGTGAACTAAGAGTTCTACTGATCACTGATTAGTCCTGACCTTTGATTCTACCTGTTTGTGCTGAGGGGGTGATTGCTATAATTTCGCACAACTTTCTGTAGTAAATTTATTACAAGAAGCATTGTTACTGAGGGAAGGGTTTCTCTTATCAATCTATTTCTTTTTTTTATCAGTACCATACTGTTGGGCTGACTTTTCTCTGTTCTCTAAACACTGCCATACCGTTGGAGTGAATCAATTTCTTTTTGTCATCACCATACCGTTGGGCTGACTACATTCTGTTTATTTTATTTTCTATTGCGTCCATACTGTTGGATTGACTGGTATTGCTACTGACCTCACAGGAAGTACTTTTGTCTGAACATAGCTTGGGGAAGTGTAAACAGCCACCCACGAACAACCACGTTATCAGTCATTGGTATTTGTCTGAATCACTGACCATGGAGATTTTTTATTTTGTAGGTGTTTATCTATAGATCATCTATCTAAGAAGACAACGAGCATGTGGAAATGTGTTAATAAGTGAGATGGATCATAGGGAAATGAACTCAGAGATGAAACTAGGTACAAGGATCAATAAGCAAAATGGAAACACAGATAACCAAAGACCAAAGACAGGTGATTACCATAAGGGGATGGGCGCTGATTTGAGGTTTGGGTCCAGATATGAAACATAGGTGGGATCCGGAGATCCTAAGAAGTGGATGTCAGATCAGGTGTCCAGGATATCAGATCCAGATGTGTGGATATGCAATGGTACAGGCATTTGGACAGATAAAGGACATGGACAGGGGGTCTGGAGGTCTGGATGAGGTGTGGGAACATTGTCGGATGTAGGTCCAGAATACGGGATATGACATTCCTTTTACCCCTACTTACAGTACAGTAGCCCAGCCCTTAACCCTTTCCACTAGTATAAGTAGTCAGTCATCTTATACTAGATTTTCTAACTTGAATCTACTCAATCTTCCCTCGAAACTACTTCCTTCAAGAGCCTCTCACTGCAGGCATTTTCTCATTTTCCTCCACCAAACATTCAAAAAATATTGATTGAGAAGATAGAAATTTACCCTCATTTTTCCTGTCAAAACATTGAAAAAAAGTAATTCATGTTTCAATAATGTTCTGTGTGGACATAATGTAAAAATTGGTCATGTTCCTTCAAGGATAATGCTGTATTTTACATGTATTGTCTTTGAAATAACAGCTAAAAATAATGTACCCTCCTTCCAGTACTTGACAAACAATTTTATGAACTTTTGAGGCTACTGATGAGAAACTCAAAACACATCACCTCATAACTTAAAGTGGCTGTACATTAAGGTTTTTTTATGTAAAAGTTGAGCTGTGTGTTCAGGATTTCCCTTTTGCACACCTCTTGACTTGGAGCTTTACATTCCTGCATACATGCAGGTTACACACAAAAATATACTATATGTGACAGACTCTGAGTAAGAAGGTTCATCCTTCGAGATCATGGTCTGGTACTACATCAGCTAAAATGTGATGTGCAATGTAGCCCTACAGAGGCTACAGAGTGTGTACTATAGCTTCGTTGCAACCTCCCTCCCCCCCCCTCAACATAGCACTATATACTCAATTCCACTGTACTTTAGGAGAGCTGTCGATATCCTACATAACCTTGCTGTAATGATGTTGAGCCATGCTGTTTTCAGCCATTCGCAATAATATCATTGATGATCTTCCCATACACTAAGACCACGGGGAAGCAATAGAGCAGTACCTACTGCGAGAAATGCCATGGCGATCAAGAAGTAGTATATCAACCACGCATCGTGCCCTTCCTGCATTGAATAAGAGAAGACCGAAGCTGCAGACGCCGGGCCAATGATCCTCGCTACTGAGGCAGCCATCTGCGCGATTCCATTGGTTGCTCCGAGCGAGGCACGATTGGGAGCGGCGGCTCTGATAAACAATGCTATGCAAGCTACGACTTCTCAGTAAAGTAAGACATCGGAAGTGCTGAATTGACATACGGTAGCACATGTTCAAGCTCATCGTCAGCATAAGCTGAACGGCAACACACAGCCACACCGCCACACCTATCCCATGGGCTCGGGCCAGAGTGTTGATCACTGGAAATAAAATGACGGTGGGTATGCCGGAGGTGACGCCGGTGATATGGATAGCTCTTGCACCGAAGTGATCATGCAGACGAGCATAGAAAAGTAACTGAGATATGCCATGTGCAACGCCTTGCGCTGCAAGTAAAGCGCCAATGCGAGGAGGGTCAAGGGAAAGACCACCAAGTTCAATCGGTGTCGCATAGAAAACAGGTAAGACTAAACTAAATGCCATGTGAAATAGGCCTGTGGTGGCATAACTTGCTGTTACGATCGAAACTTTCGAGGTCAATAAGGCACGCAGCGGAAGCGACTTTGATTGGACTTCTCCGGGATTCGCTTCCCCAGGATCAACTATAAGATTGCTCAATGGCTGGCGAGACTTAGAGCATGACTGTCCGAAGAATCCTCCTGTAATTAGCTCCCAAAGTGGTGCCTTGGTAGAAACGCTCTTGTAACCACACTTAGCGTGATCCAGAGATCGGTTTTCACATCGTGCTCACCTCTTGAAGACGCCAATACGTGACTAGCCAAGCTATTAATGCAAACAGTGCCGAAATAGAGCATGGCAGGAGATATGGGTAGGTTTTCAGGAGTTCTGATCGCCCAAAGATGCCAGGGAATCTGTCTGCTGGTCGGGAGAGCGAGCCGCCAATGAGTGGTCTAGATGTCGTGAACTTCAGTGAGAGAGAAAATGCAATACGTATCGATGTATGCCTACCCAATTGTGTTTGCGATCATCCACGGAATTGGTACATAACTGTATGCCTCGGGCATATTGGTCATGTCAGTGATGTCCATCACCATGATCTTGAGGATAGCATTGCTCGCATCAAATGCTCCGCAGACAACACGACTGGTCAAGAATATCAGTAATCGATGGTCACAAGTACAATTTTATATTTGATTGCACACACTGACCTAACCACGAGATCAAGGAAAGTCTTCGACAGCCCAAACGAAAACATCGAAACAGAAATTGCTAATAGAGCTATCAGTAATACAGGTTTCCGCCCAACGTGGTCGGACAGTTGACTCCAATGAAAAATAGTCAGTGCATGAGCTGCATAGTATGATGATTGCTGGGATAATATCAGGAACGAATGAAGGGGAAGGGGAAGGAACAATGAAGACATGCTTACAAGGATGCCGGCATAGCGACCGACTTGGGACTCG